ACCTATACTTATGGATGTAGTAGCTCAAAATACCAACTGAGAGGGAAGGAGTCTTCACATCCACTATCAATCCTATCTCTCTGTATACAGGGTTGATAGAGATGGGTAACTTAGACACTGGCTATCTAAAATGGGGGGAAGGGCTATAAAGGCAAGAAGTGACTGGCTTACAAGTTTTCAAGATAGAGTTTAATTTCAGAGTGTGTGAGGGAAAGTACCCCCAACATGATAGATTGGCTAAGTGGCAGCATCGATGGACTCAAACATGGCAACAGTAGTTAGGTTGGCCCAGGACTGGTCAGTGTTTCATTGTGCTGTCCATAAGGTCACTATGAGTCAGTAAAGAACCGATGGCACCTGAAAACAACAACAACAAATTGTTATCATGATTAATTGTGACTGTCACAACTGTAAAAGTAGTAGTGTAATGAAAAGGGGGAGTAGTGAATCTTACATTCCAGGAACAGAGGACACTAGGACTATCAAGGGAGACAAGCATGAGCAGGACTGGGGACCCTATACAGAGAAACAATGACAACAGAGATGGAGGCAGAGATAAGGACCTGGAGAGATAGAGCAACTGAGGACTCTAGATTCATGGAAGAGAAAGGCTGTGTGTTGGTGGCCAGGAGGCAGGCTTGAAGAACGAGCCATTTGGTTGTTTAAATGATTATATATTGCTGAGTGTTTTTGTGTACATAAAAAACAAACAAACAAAAAAACCCAAAACAAAACAGAGGGAAAAGAATCAAATACTGTTGAATGATGATGCTGAAACCTTCAAAAAATTTGTTTCTGATATTCTACATAGCTTTTATCCTTAATGCAATAACTCATTCACCTTCTAATCCTTAATATTCTATTAGGGATACATAAGATCTTTGTAATGTAAGTTGCAAACCTACATTTGCCCCAACCTAGACTTTTTACCCTTCACAGGGTAACTTTAAAGTCTTTTACTATGGCTTATTTAGAATTTGGAGTCCTAATGTGGTGATGCAGGATAATGTATTGGACTGAAGGGTCGGTTTGAACCCTAAGGTCGGTGGTTCAAACACAC